CCAAGAGTTGTTCCGCCCACTCTCACTCCCAACCACAATTTATTGTGACAATCAGTCTGCAATCATGCTTGCTCACCATGGCAATTACCATGCCCATACAAAACACATAGATGTTCATTATCATTTTATACACTATGCTATTGATAATGGTTTGCTTTGCCTCATCTACTGTCCTACTGGCAGTATGGTTGCAGATACCCTTACCAAGGCTCTTCCAAACATCAAAGCCAAGCACTTTGCTTATGAGCTTGGACTCCATGATGTTTGAGGAGGAGTGTTGTACATTCTGTCTTTCATATTATACTTTCATCTGCATCCCACTTAGTATTATGGTGCGCATTTGGCCATATTACATAATCACATTCATTTTCACACTCAAGTAGCATATTCACACCTCAGTTGGCTACTTAACTCAACAGAGGTGAGCACTTTCTACATCCTGTCTTTACACTCAGCTAATAGTCCTGTAGTATATATTCTACAGGTACATAATATAGTTGGCTACTTAACCCAACTGAGTATATATTCTACAAGTAATCCTGCTCCAGCTAACCCTGCCACATCTTCAGAAGCCCCAGCAGCTGGAAAAACTCCAGTTGCTCCTAATCTTACTGATCTCCAGAAGCTTAAGCCATTTACAAATTCCACACCTCAATTCCATTACCAAAGCAGCTTTGATGAGGCTGCAGCAACCAAGTGGATCATAAATCAGGTCTTAGATGCAAAGATGGAAATCTCCACTAAAGACCTACTAGCTGTCAACCCAGAGATTTGCAAGCAGGTCAGAGAACTGGTGGCAACAAAGAAGATAATGATCAGGAGTTTAGAAACTGCATCAGATGTGACACCCTCAGCTGCCTGGGCATCCTATGAGCAGTACTGGGTCAGAGACACAGAGGGGAAGTGCATAGGCCTCACTATGGCTCCCTTATGTGCTGTCGACAGAATCTTGATGGACAAACTTCACATTGAATGTATTCTGGACAGCAGATGTCAGGTAGTGGCCTTGTGACAGGAGTTGTGGGAAGCCTTAGAGGCCCCCCTCTGTACTGACATGACTATGACTCTGGAGGCTGCTAACCAATCCAAAGAAAGCACCCTTGGGGTCATAGAGAATGCCACCTTGCACATAGGAAATGTCAAGGCCCATCTACAAATCCAAGTCATTGATCATGCACCTTTTGACTTACTACTCAGTCATCCCTTCTTCTGCCTACTCTCCAGCATTCTTCATGATTTCCCTGATGGGGAACAGTCTCTAGAAATCCATGACCCTAATTCCAGGAAACAAGCTTTAATTCTGACATGACCTCACAACAGACTGCAACCCCTTCTGCATTGTGTAAATTCCAAAGATGAAGAAGACTTCTTCACATGAAAACAAACACATTGCCACATGAATCCACCTTTTCCCACAGACACTGCTATAAATCCCACTGCAGCATTTATCTACAATTTACAAGGCAACAGTATGCCCCCTGTCAATCCCTTTGACACCAGTTCCATTTCTCCAACTGATCCTTTCTTGATTTTGACTGCTACTACCATTTCTCCACTGACAATCTCTGCCTTATTCTCTACTTATCAGTTCAATCCTGTTTATCATGTCTTAAAGTACAAACCTGTAGCAAGGAAGGTGAGGCCAGTACTGACATCAATGCCAGCAGAATTCTGGGTAGAGCATCTGGAGGCCAAAGACCCACTCATGCATCTGCCTGTTTTACCTACTCATCCCCTGCCATTCATGCCAGGTTCCAGGTTTACTCAAGAAAGAGCTGACAAGCTCAATCTGGACCTGGCAAGGTTCCTTTGGCCTATGGAATTAGACCTGGTATGATGGTTGGTCAGGGAGAAAGAGGATGCCTTTGCTTGGGATGCTTCAGAAAGAGGGACTTGTTGAGAGGACATGTTCCTGCCCCTGAAGATACCTACACTAGCTCACAAGCCTTTGATCGAGTGAAATATTCCCATTCCTCCCACTATTTTCTGTGAAGTTGTTAACATCATCAAAGAAAAGATTTCCACAGGGGTTTATGAACCATCTACTTCATCCTATTGCTCAAAATGGTTCTGCATAGTCAAGAAGGACAGAAAATCCCTGCACCTCATACACAACTTGCAACCTCTAAACACCATTTCTATCCAGGACTCAGCCATTCCCCCCTTTGTCAATTCAATCGCTGAAGCCTTTGCTTGCCATTTGGTCTATGGAATTTTAGACCTTATGGTCAGATATGATCATCACACCATACATGACAATTTCCATGACCTCACTACCATCCAAACTCCTATTGGCACCCTTCAACTCACCAAACTTCCTATGGGCTACACAAATGCCATCCAAATTTTCCACAGAGATGTCTGTTGGATTTTAAAGGACAAAATTCTGGAAGTCACCATTCCATTTATTGATGACTGTCCTATTAAAGGCCCCAAATCTCACTACCAAAATCCTGATGGGACCTATGAAATGATTCCACAGAATTCTGGGATTAGATGCTTCATCTGGGAGCACCTGCAGAACATCAACCAAGTCCTACACCATCTGCATCATGCAGGAACCACCATGTCAGCAAAGAAATGCATCATCACTGTGCTGTCTATCATAGTGGTTGAGCACAAGGTGTCATTTGAGGGTAGAATTCTGGACAAAACTAAAGTCCAGAAGATTAAAGATTGGCCTTATTGCACAAACATTACTAAAGTATGTGGATTTTTAGGTCTCTGCTTGTACTGCAGGATCTTCATCAAAGACTTCACCAAACATGCCTGTCCCCTCATCAAGCTGACCAAGAAGGATGTCCCCTTCAAATTCCACAATGAACATAGGGAAGCCATGGAGTACCTCTGCCAGGCAATTGTCTTGTCCTCTGCATTGCAAACTATCAACTATAATTCTGAAAGGAAAGTCATCTTAGCAGTTGACACCCCTAACATCACTGTTGGGTACCTCCTCATGCAGGAGGGGGAAGACAGCAAATGCTACCCTGCTAGGTTCAGCTTGATAACTCTCAATGATCACAAACACCACTACAGCCAAGCTAAGCTAGAACTATTTGGGCTTTTCCATGCCTTGCATGACATCTGACTTCATATCTTTGGCATGTGGAATTTAGTTGTTGAGGTGGATGTGCAGTACATCAAAGGGATGATTAACAATCCCAACCTACAGCCTAATGCAACCATAAATCATTGGATCACTGGAATTCTCCTATTCAACTTCAAGCTCATACATGTTCCAGCACATAAGCACACAGCACTGGATGGACTTTTGAGGAGGCCAAGAGCAGAAAAAGATGAGGAGGGAGATGAGGACTATGAGGATTGGATAGATGAGTGTGGGCAAGATCAGAGAAAGTGAAGCAGAGAGAGGAGAGGATGAGAGTGGTGAAGGAGTTATTGGAGATGAAGAAGTCACCAGAAGGGTTGGAAGGGGCAGAATTGGAAAGCCTAGTGCATCTTGCGACTTGGTATTTCATGAAAGAAGGGGAACTGTGGAGGAAGGATCCCCAGGGATGGCATCAGCTAGTGGTACCCCCACACAAATGCCTTGGAATTCTCCACCAGGCCCACAATGACCTAGGGCACAAGGGTATCTTCTCAACTCACATGCATTTGCTGACCCACTTTTGGTGGCCCATGCTAGAGCAGGACATCTGTTGGTATGTTAAATCATGCCATGAGTGCCAGATCTGTTGTTTGGATCACATTCATATTCCACCAGTTGTTGCCATTCCCAAACCCCTATTCTACAAGGCCTATATGGACATGTTCCTAATGCCAAAGTCAAACAGCTTTTGCTACATCACCCAGGCCCACTGTTCACTCACCAGTTACCCCAAATGGGCTATGCTTCATGCAGAGACAGGCAAGTCCATTGGAAAGTTCATTTTTGAACAGATTTTGCGCTGTTGGGGTGCTGTTGCAGAGATTGTCACAGATAACAGGGGGCCATATGTCCTCACTCGTGACTGGCTCTCCAAGACCTTCAGAATTTATCACATACACATCTCCCCTTATAACTCACAGGCTAATGGAGTTGTCGAACAGCGGCATTTTGATGTAAGAGAGGCAATGGTAAAAAGTTGTGGTGGGGAAGCATCAAGATGGTCAGAGGTTGCCCCTGCAGTATTTTGGGCAGAAAGGGTTATGGTCCACAAGGCAACTGGGTTTTCTCCATTCTATATGGCTCATGGTGTCAAACCCAGACTCCCTTTTGATCTGGTCAAAACAACATTTTTAGCCCCTTTCAAAGTGGAATTTTACTTGACCACAGATCTCATTGCTCACTGTGCTTGCCAACTCCAGAAACACCCAGATGACCTTGCTTGCATCCATGATCTGGTCCTAAAATCCTGCTTTGCCTCAGCCAAGGATTTTGTCAACTGTTTTGCACATTCTACCAAAGACTTTAACTTCAAACCAGGGTCACTCATCCTTGTTCAGAATTCCCACATCAAACTAGAACTCAACCAGAAGTCCAAACTGCACTATCTAGGGCCTATGATTGTCATCAGACACACTAAAGGTGGCTCATACATACTTGCAGAATTAAATGGTGCTGTCTCAAAATTCCACTTCACTGCCTTTTGCCTATACCCCTATTTCCTGTGGAATAATGCTCATATCAAAGTCACCCAGCTGACTGGCACTTCCACACAAGACCTGGACCACCTTGAGGACAGTTCATTCCCAGACCCTACACTTGCTGGTGTCCCTTTGGATGAGTCAGATGAGTAGTCCATCCTTCTCCTTACCTCCTTTCTTTTCTTTCCCTGTTCTTCCTTTTATCAATACCCATTTCATCTCATATATAAAATTCACACTGCTCACAAGAAACAACAATAAAATAAAATAAAATAAAATAATTCCACAACTCTTCTTCCCTCAGGGGGCTTTTCCTTCACTTACTGTAGTACTAATACTGATGCACAAAAGTCTTTTACAATGTTGGAACATACAAGTATAAATGACAAATTCTGCAGACACAAGTGCACTGTTTACAGGTCCTGGAGTTTGTCCTTCAACCTATGCAATTCCTCCCATCTGGCCTGTGCAGCCTCAATCTGCAGTGTTACCCACCTTGCCAGCATCTCTAGCAGCTGGTGGAACTGCTCCAGCTCAAATTCCTCATCTTCAGCCCTCGCCTCAAGCACTCATAGCCATTCAACAAAGTTTGCTGTCAACCACCCACATGGGTCTATGACCTCCAGAGTTTCTGCAACTGCTGGAGTATCGCCTTGGGCTGGTGATTCAATGTCTCCAGGTTCATTTAGTAAGCTGGTCGCAGTTGCAGAGAATGGTTCAAATTTGACTTGTGGTTTGTTGATGGGGGGTGTCAGGTGGGGTTTGTTGACAGGGGGTGGTGAAGGCTTGAACAAAGGCCCAGGCATGGGAGTAGCCCCACAGAAGAAGAGACAAGGACTTGGTGAAGAATCATGAGGGGAGGGGCTTGGTTCTGGGGAAGGTGAGTGTGTGGGGGTCAGGTCAGGTTGTTGTTTTCAAGGCAGAATTTTCAGAGTGAGTTTCTTAGCAGGTCCAGTTGCAGGTTCTGCTGGGGCTGCCTTCAAGGTCATAATTGATTTGACTCATTTGTGGGACAGCCCTGCCTCCCCAATGGTACCAGAGTTCTTTTGCTGAAGGTGGTGTCAACTTGTTCCCTTGCAGAATTTCACCTATATGGTACTCACCTTTCTCCCTACTCCACAAGAGTGTGAGCACTTGTGCTTCACCTTCCTACACTGTTTGCAGGATGACTCTGGCTCCCCTATGCACATGAGGTTCACCTGGGCACACATCTCACAGGGCTCATTGTCTCCAGACACACAAGTCCCTTTTCCAAAGGACCTGGCTCACCTTTGCCTTCACCTTTGCCATCGCCCTCATCATCATCAATGTCATTGGCCAGCTTGTCCTCCTTGCTGGTGGCCTGCAGAATTTTCATTGAAGTCAGCATTTGCACTTGGGGTTGTCAAGGACATAGAACACACCTTCTGTTTCCCTTTTCCCTTGCTTGTGCTACCAGAGCCCCCCCTGTCAATCATGCAGCTCTTCTTGACAGGTATCCTTCAGTGTCTTCTGGCACACAGTCTTGACCCCCACCTCTTGCTGCTTGGCCCCAGGTGTGCATGGACAGGGCATTGGCAAACCTCTTGGCCTCCAACCATGCTCTCTCCTCTACCTGCTCCTGGTAGTCCTCAACAAGGTCATCAATGATGAATCTATGCTGCCCTTCTGGCCACCAAAGATCTGCTATTGCTATAGCTTCCAGGATCACCTCATTCTGCCATATTGCAGATTCTTTGGTCATGTCATGTAGGTTGGCATCACACACCTTTGGGATGGAGATCTTGTTCTCATCAATGTACTTCCACCATGAGTAGATGCCAGCCTGGGGAACAGTCAGCACATCACATTGCATGGCTCTCTAGTGCACTCACCCAAGTCTGGTCCCAGTCCTCCACCCATTCATATATTGCCTCTAAGCTCTCTTTGGGCCATGGCATTGTGTCAATCAGCACCCTAATGTGTCTTAGAGCTGCTGACAGCAAGGTGATTGCCTGGTCCCTCATGCTGCATACTGGTTGCACATTGTGGATCAAGTAGGCTTGCATGTCAAAGGTTGGGTATGGGCTCAGGTAGTGGATATGGGTGTGGCTGGGGAGTGAAAGTTTGACAAGTGGTGAGCCACTTTCTGGGAGAGTTTAAATTCTGCAGGGCCATCTTGTACAATGTGGAATTCCACTCTGTGCATGAGGCAGAATTCCAGCCATGCACCATCATTGTTACATAAAGCCTGCTGATATTCTGCACTTGTCTCTGTCATGTCTTCATTCAGTCTGACCAAGGACAGTCAGCTTTCAAAGTCCCCAGGAGGTGTAGGGAGTCATATACTCCCTGAGGCTGGAACATGAATTGGTCACTAAATTCTGCAAGCCTCTGCAACAGACCTGTTTTGGGATTTTTCCCACTCATGACCTTGTGTTTTCTCCCAACCCCTGTCACCTTCAGAGTTTCTCCTGACCTTCAGCATGTCACCCAGTCATTGATAAAGCTGATGCAGAAATTCTGCATTTGCCCAGAGTCATCCAGAGTTCAGTAGCTGCACCACTGCCTAACCACATCATCACTCATTCATGCCAGATGCCTCTAAAAAAACTCCAGTTATCCCTATTGCCCTAAATTCCACAAGCTGGACTTTGCACCAGTATGCTCTGCCCTCCTGCACTTCCCCCTCCTGTCAGGTCCACCTCTCACTTGTACACATACCCTAGTTCTGTTGGAAGATACCCCTTACTGTTGACCCATTTTTACTCTCATCTACTACTTGCCAGACTATTTCACATGCATCTGTAATTCACTGATGTCTGTCATCCTTTCCTTTATTTTCCAGGTTTTTTTTGTTTTTTGTTTTTCCACCCCACCTTACTCCAACTCATACCTACTTCCCTTGTACTATATAATTCCACCATAATGTCAGAAATAAAGCACCCACCTTTAGAGTCACTATCTGTGTGTGTTCTGCAAGTTCAAGAAGTTCTCAGAGTCTAAGTGCATATATTGAGTCTACAGCATCTACAGCATCCCCAGTGAGCCTCATGTCTCTTGTGTCTTCCAATCCTGCACACCTTATTCTGTATCCCCCTCACCTCAAATACACTCTTCTTGCCACAATTCAGCTTCTCAGAATTCCATATACCCATCTCACTATCCTCATGCATCCACAACCCCCTGGAACTAAATTCTTCGACCCTCACTCATATTCCCCACCCCTTCTAGGGTAACCCTTGACTTCTCCTTCCACACAGCACCCCTTGGGACAATCCTAGGGAATTCTCCCTTCAGCCTTCCTCTAGTTGCATGCTTCCCAGAAGTTGTGTCTCACAGTGGGCTGTGCACAACCCTTGCCTGTACATCTGTACTCAATTCAATGCTACTGGAAGCCACTCTATGTTGGCCATGTAATTATTCACAAAATAAATGGGTATTCTGCAAAGAGACCTGCCCAAATTTGCTAGATGAGTGGTGTTCAGGCACAGGAAGTGGTCATGTGATCACACCTCACATGTGGCACTTGCACTTCAGGCTCAGCTGTGCACATGTGAACATGCACTCACAAAAAAATTGGCATGGGCCACCCTCCTGCCTGGGAAAATTTGCTTATCTGGCTGCAAATTTCCCAGTGTTAAGTCACTTAGCACACTTTACAATGGATTTTGTGCTTTACAACCTGTTCCTGATGCAAATTTCCCACTTTTCATTAGCTAAGAGCATAGATAAACATGTGTAGGACATGAACAGAGTGCCTCAGCACCCTCCTGAGCCATCCCACCCAAGCCATGATGGTGTGATGCCCAGCAGGGCCCACCCAAATGCTTGACCCCCTTGCCCACTCACTCACCTGAGGGCAGCATTTCCTTTTAAGGAAGTTCCCACAGCATTGCCACCTGCAAATTTTTCATGCTAAGTGAAATGTAGGCAAAAGCATAATGTGAAAGGTAGAATATACAACAGGCAACTCATTGGCTTACAGTGTGGTGCAGCAACTTCAGCTCCACCACTATCACAATCATAGCTCATTTCCTTGTGGCAGGCCCTAGTAACAATATAGATGCCAAGCCTATGGACTTGCCCATGATTTGGGAGACATGCAATGACCTCCTGGAGAGGTTCTTGTTCTTATATCAAGACCTCAACCATCAGAATCCCATGAACACCTTCCACTCACAGTTTGTACTGCAGCTCCTTGCCCATACTCATTTGTGATCCTGTGTCATATGCCCTGATATCCTGGCACTCAGAATGGATACTTTGAAAGCATTTGGTGTCCAAGGGGCCCTTTCCCTTTCTTGTGCTGCAGTGAGTAGTATATTTTGCCCATCAGATCACATAGCAACAAAGGTTTTTAGCTCAAGCATGCCATTCAACTATTCCAAAAGGGTGACATGGACATCAACAACCAGATCAGTACCTGGGGCAAGGCCACTGCAAAGACTCCCCTCAAACTCAACAGGACATCTGGGAAGGAATCATCAGCTGCCCTGGTGTTCTCAGAGAAAAACTGGGAAACATGTACCAAGCACTATTATATGTTAGTTGCTAAACACAATCATTTGGCACTGACAGAAATTGCCTCCATGGCAAATGCCCTGTCTCCCCAGCCATGGATTCCTTGTTGGATGATGGTAGTCTTGAGTTGATTCAGTGGTGGAAGACCTTGGCATGTCCATAGATCAGTGCATGAATATCTGTAGGACAAATACCTTGTCTCTACACAATTTACTGACTTAATTTGACAGAATCCTTGTCATGCATCCACAGTATTTTTTTTCACATGTGCCCTTCTTCCCCCTCCTTCAAACCAGTCATTATCACCACTCTCTAATCTGCATCAATTTATGTTTGTAGCTGCTTCACTATCACCTTCTGTCATCCCTGACTTGTGACTACAATTTCTACATTTGTTTAATGTTTGGTACTCCTCCACTCTCAATACCTATCATGTTTCTAACCTGATAAGTGTGTGACTGATTAAAATAACAAAAAATGTAGGTATGTATAACAAGAATGACATGCTGTGGATAGCATGGATAGTAGAATAATATGAATAAGTCAAAAAAGTCATTAAGTGAAATGGCAAAAAAGCCCAGATGGGTGAAGAATCTACCTAAATAAGTCACAGCACTATCCATGCTTATTTGACAATCAGTGCTAAAATAAGTATGGATAGTACTTTGTTAATTTCCTGATGGTGCATGAAGTAGTCACTGAGGTGGAAAAGAATGGTGTGGAAAATTTATAGTATCATAATTAGTAAGTGGAGTGACCTCAGAATTTAATTCTGAAGGTCAGAGAAATGTTGGAACATAAAGTGTGGTACTTGACCACTGTGCGATGTTTTGGCTGCTTACATAAGCTGAAATAGCGCATGTACTTGTAGTATTTTCTACTAGTGTTCCCTCAGTAGTTTGTTCACTACTGAGGGTAAGTCAGTTTATATTACAAGTATTCTACTATACTGACATCCTGTAGTAGCCTACAGGTACAGTAATACACTCAGTAGTTTGTTCACTACTGAGGTGTTGGAGCACAGTATGCTGTCCAGTCTACACTAAGTTGATTACATAATATGTTAGGTACTTAGTTTACACTTTGTCTTACCTTACACCTCAGACTTCATAATTTCAAGTCTGAGTTCTGTGTCTAGGGCTAACTTGAGTAGCCTTCTGCTCTCACCCTACCCACAAAATGAGGTAGCCTACAGATATTTCTACAAGAAAAACTCCAAGTATTCTGGGTGAAACTCTGAGACACTACTGTAACTCTGGAATGCTGGAACTCACCACTGTGGGGTGAGTACACTCAGAATGGCTCACAACAATGACAGAATGTGGACAGGTGTGTGGGGATTAGACAATCAAGCATGTACACTGATACAAGATGCTCAACAGAGCAAGTGAGAGGAAAGAGGGGAAAAGAAGAGACAACCTGCACATACATGCAGCACCAGTATATATACCCCCAGGGTCCAAACAGTACAACACAGCAGGAGGGATCCACATGCCCAGACAAGGGCATGATTGAGGGAATAGGAGATGTGATGATGTGAAGCGATAGTGTGAACAGTGCATGAGTGGCAAGTGGTAAGCAGTAAGGTAAGCATATGCTTACAAATGCATACTTGACAGATTTCATCCTGCCAAACTTCCACTAGTGGGAGTTCTGTGTTGGAAATACCGGTTAACGGTGTTTCTCATTACCAGTTCTAGACTTGCTTATTAGATGAGTTTTACTCATATGATGTCATGCTTTCTAAGTGACTCCACAATGATGTCACTTTACTCCACTTGTTCCACAATGTTCCATGACATTCATTACTATACATAGTAGGTAGTAACTTTACTTACCATATGCATCACCTGGTCTGTGCACATTCCTACATGTATATAAACCAAGGGGTTTCTGTCGTATCCCCTCAGTTCAGTTCAGTTGAGTACAGTTCAGAATTCACATCTGTTCTTCTGTCTACAAGCCTCAACAGCTCTATTCAAATACCATTTACTTCCAATGCTCTATCCAATCTTAGAGGCAAGTGCTCATCTTTAGCTCTCGCCCTTTTCCCCTTGTCCCTCGTTCCTCTGCCAATAGGTTATGAGCCCCGATGTCTAACTGTCGGTGTGCTATTGTCTTATGTGCATTTACTGATCTCTGGTGACAGCCATATCAGCATGCCATTTGATGGCCTAGATGCGCTAGGATGGGGTGTTGTTGCTTACATTGTGTCACTTCTTGTGGCTTTTTACCAAACCATTTTTTATATTTCACTTGGAGGATATGGACCTTTTAGGGAGCTGTTTGTGGCTTCAGTCACCTTCTGGGTAGCTGCTTTAGCCAGACCTATTTGGAAAGATCTATATCTCCATTGGGTTCATGCTTGTATTGCTGCCACCATGGGACACGACCTCTGCCTTATTCATGACAGTCTTTGCCCTCCTATGGTTGAGGCTCCACCTCCCAACTATCTTCTCCATGTGATTCCTGATTGTGATGATGACACTGACCTTGATCCCATTCTGCCCTACACAGTTGAAGGAAGTGCCGATCCACTTCCCCCTCACCATGAACCAACTCCTCCTCCAGAGCTCGTAGTGGCATTAGGTGATGCTCTCACTCAGGCTAATGCCTTGATCGCTGAGGTCAATCTCACAGTTGGAAACGACCCTGCCAAGTTTGATTTGCTCCTTTAGCTGCATCCCTAATTATTTATGAACAGAATCTTATGTGTTTCTTCTAGCATGTCTCTCATTGTTGCTAAGCATACTGAAATCACTGCCACTCACCTTCATGACAGCATGTATCAAGGAAACAAATGGAGAGAGGAGTATGTGAAGAAAGTTGTTGAATATATGGAGGCATTGTATGTTAGAGAATGTTCCCACTGGCACTATGCAGTCCCTAGTAGTTGATCTTTCTTCGTGCGCCTGCAGCCTTTGCTAGCCCATGTCCCTCTCTCGCAGATTGAGGTGACTTGGGATGGCTTCCTGACCTATCCAGGTACTGACATGCCATTCGAACTTCCCAGTCTCCATACCACATTCCATGGCTATCTCACCGATTTTGCTCCCAAAATCTCCTTCCTTTCCTCACCTCACACAATCACTAACTTCAATGGTTGTGACCTTCCTAGTCTAACCTATGAAGATCCTGCCCTCTGGACCGTTCCAGCCTCCACAATCACGCATGACACCTTCGTGTACATCTATTACCACTGCCATCCCCTCTACATCTTGGGAAACCCTTTCCATGAGCTCATCCCTCCTCTCAGGGTTTGGCACAAGTATTTGGAAGGCCATTACAGAGGACTTTGGCAAGAAGGAATCACCAATGTTGATTGTGTCCCCCTCTTCTTCAGAGAGCGATGACCTGGGGGACATCTTTTCGACCTCCAACTATTGGAGTTTGTCAACACCTTTAAGGTGTACAGAGATATGGATGAAACCCAAACTGGCTATGACAAAGCTCGAGGAACTCTTTGGTACCTTGATGCTACTGGTTACAAAAAATTCATTTACTGGCCCAGAACAGACATGGTTATGGCTGACTTCGAACGTGCAATGGCCTGTGATACTGGGTCATCTTACATCCAACCCGGATGTCGTGGACTACTTGCCACTGCTCTTGCAAGGTCTTGTGTGGCTGCCAAAGTTAAGTGCAAACTATCCTCTCCCCTGTACAATGGACATACCATACACATCTGCAGGCTGATTCCTCAAGTATCCTGATGGATCTCTTGATCCCTGCCTAGATAGCTCTTACAATGTCTTCGAAATCTTAGCTTCTAGGGAGTATGGTAATTGGATATATGGCTGGTTTCCTTTTCCTTATTCTTGTGCCTCTGAATGGTTAGGCTTTTCGAACCCCCATGGACTTCATGAAATGGGCTGGTCATTTTTATCCTACCATTATTTCCCTGACTTGTGCATCAATTTTCTCGAGTACAATGTTCAGCAGAGTTCTTGCATTGCCAATTGGCATTATGCTGAGAAAGGCATGGAACCAGAGCCAAAAATAAAACACCTGATCACCACAAACTCGGAATCGACCTGGACAAAAGTCCTGCACCTGCAAGCATTGTAAACACATGCACACTATCCTCCAAGACACCTTTAATCCTGGACTCGTTGACACACAAAAAACTTTCCTATACAACCATCTAATCCTTGACATTTACTAGAATGTCTTCTGAAGGAGGTCTCAGAAAGAACATCCTGAAACTTAATGGGATGAATTATGCTGTTTGGCAAGTGATGATGAAGGCATATTTCCAAACCTTAGGAGTGTGGGGAATCGTTTCTGGAACAGAGGCATTACCAGCCAATGCAGATGAAGCTTGAGTCTGGAGGACTTCAGACTCTCATGCTCAAGGGTGCATTACCCTTTACTGCGATCCTATGATCGCTCTCTCCATTGATGCCCATGCCACTTCCAAATTAAAATGGGATGACCTCAAGGCTAAATATGGCAAACCTTCTGCCATGACAACTTTCATGGAGTTCCAAAGACTCCTTAAAATTCAAATTAAACCCAAGGATGATCTCATGGTGAAGATTGCTGAGATTAACATGCTCTTCAAGACCATCACTGGTCAAGGCATTACCTTGGATGACAAAATGAAGTCGTTACTTCTTGTCCATGCAATGACTGCCTCCTGGGACCAAGCTCCCACAAATATCCTATCATCCATCAATCCTGCACACTTAGGACCTGATGCAGTAATTCCTTGTATGAAGGAATTATGGTCACATTGATCTGGTCAGTCCATGCTACCAAGACAAATTGGAGAGTCTTCTGGCTCTTCCACTACCATCAAAAAGGAGTCTAACTCCTTATTATCTTGCATGAACAAACCACCCCTCTGCAATATTTGCAAGGGTGGTCATAACACTCAAGACCATCAAGGTGGAAGTTTTTCTTGTGGCCATGGTGGACATGGTGGTTTTCATGGAAATCGCAGATGTGGGGGAGGCTCTTATCAGCCTTACCCACAACAACAAAACAATCAGCAGGGTGGTTCCTCTAACAGAGGATGAAACCAAAATTGTCACTGTGGCAAGGGCAAGGGAAAAGCCCAAGCCAATGAGCTTGACATCCCCAGACAAGGTGCTGAGGAGTTTAACCTTGCATCAATTGAAGAAGTTCC